TTAACATAGCTGATGTGTTTGTTCCATGTTAATTTGTGGTCTATTATCATGCCTAAATATTTTACTTGTTTTTCAAATTTTAATTTAGTTTGGCCTAAATATAATTCTGGAAGTTTCCGGGACTTCGTGAAATACATAGCTACGGTTTTTTGTTTGGATGGTTTAAATCCCCATTTATTTGCCCACTCGTTTATTGCTGTTTTTTTGTATGTGTTTAGTTAATGTTAATCCCGGTACTCCAAATACATCCGTCGTCAGCAAATTGAGCTAGGTTATAAAGAGTATCAGTTAACGAGTTTAAATAAATGTTAAATAATGTTGGCGTAATAACGCTTCCTTGTGCAACACCGTTTACTAGTTCGTATTGATCTGACAGTGTGTCATGTATTTTACGGTTTTTAAGGTGAATTTGAATATATTGCCTGTTAGGCCGTGTTTTTTAAGAGAAACTAGTAGTCCATCATGCCAAATACAGCCAATGTGTTTAGTTTCTGGTTAAATCCTTTTAGGATTTCAGAAGTAAGTCTAAGTAGTGGGTCTAGGGTTGATCTTCCTTTCCGGAATCCACTTTGTTCCTCGTTTATAATATATAAACTAGCCGATTGTTTACCATAGTCTCCATTACTTTACATAGATGAGAGGTCAGTGCTATGGGCCTATATGACGCTGGTTGTTGTGGGTCTTTACCTGGTTTAAATATAGGGATTACTACAGTTTTTGCCATGGTTCTGGTATTTTACCTGCTTTTCAAATTTGTTTAAACAGCTCTACTATTATTTCTGTTATGTTATCAGGACATTGTTTAAGGATGGTATATGAGATGTTGTCGTCACCCAGGGAGGTGTTTTTCTTGTTTTGGAGGGCTTGTTTATACTCGCTAATTGAAAATGGGAAGTTCAATTCACCTGTGTTGGGCCCTGCATCTAAGATTTCAATTTGTATATTAAGTTGATTGTGCGTTTTATTAAGTTTAAATTCAGGGGTCAGGTTATCATTACTACTGGCGTTCTGATATTGTTTGGCTAGAGTGTCAGCTTTTTCCTTATCAGTGATGTTGTTTTTGCGTAAACATATGTTAGTTTAAGTATTGATTATATCATTGTAATAGAGGGGAGGGGCTACTACTCGAGCGCGTAAGCCCGCCCCTCGTGTACTGATAACTGACATATTGCGAGGTCTATGATGTAATGTACATGACTTGTCGCATAAAGTGTCACGTGACAATAGTTTTGGTAAAAGTTTGACGTTTTCTCTAAAACATCACATGTCGGGCTGCGTCCTAACGCAAGGCCAGGTTTTTTTTCACACGATGCATATGATCGCTCATACACGCATTGAAAGTGACCTAGAAAGTATCATTGAAACTGTACGGGAAGAATTAACTTCAGCGGATTTTGTAATGTTTGGAAACCTTTTAATTTCTGCGGTCAAAGACGAAGTCCAGGAAATGCCCGTTATCAGTCGTTTAAAAGACTCGGAAATAAGGACGTGAAAATCACAGAACCCGAAGGAGAAATGGTAAAAAACGTGGTCGTTACAAGTGAAAATTACATGATTATTATTTATTGACAATGATAATTACATAGTCAATTCCCTTTATAGTCGAGGCATTTCAGAGTTACTCCCCTTGGATGGAAACTCGCCATTTGTAATACAAATGAAGTCATTTGAGGAAACACTTACATTAGCCTGTTTAATGCATATTATTGTAAGTAATCATTGAAACTCAGTTAATATGTTACTTCATTGACTACATTTACTTATTGTTCATTAATGTACTGTGTCAATTATTCGTTTGTCTCGTTTCCAATGTTAATTATGTTTATCATCGGAACAACACATCGTTTGGTAAATTTTATATGTGAGTATTTCTCATTTATGTATTTTCAGACTGTGTTCATTGTTGATTTTAATAAAGACCACGTTCTTATATGAACACAGTATCACAATGCCAGGATGCGAATACGTGACAGGTGACCTTGAGGCAGCGATTGAAGCTGCACTGAAAACGGCTCATTCCATGGTTCACGCCCCAGGCCCATCCGCCGAAATTGATAGAGTCAGACGGCCCACCATAGCGTTAGCTGGTACCAGTGAGGACTGGGCTTATTTCTTGTCGCGTTGGAAAGATTATGTTGCCGCTACTAAACTGGAAGGTCGCACCAAAGTGATTCAGTTATTAGAATGTTGTGATGAACCTCTCAGGAAGGACTTAACACGTAAAAACGGTAATACCCTAACGGAACTAACTGCAGATCAGGTGCTCACAGCCATCAAAACTCTGGCCGTTCTCGAATGAATACAATGGTGGCCAGGGTAAACCTACACAACATGAAATAGGATCGTGATGAGACCGTAAGAAGTTTTGGTGCGCGTATACGAGGTCAAGCAGGTGTTTGCAAGTTTAATGTAAAATGTGCCAACTGTAATACAGACGTCAATTATACTGACGCCATCCTTCGCGATGTACTTACAAAAGGACTCGCTGATCCAGAACTTCAACTTGACCTCCTGGGTGACAGTTACTAGGATATGAATCTGGAGTTCGTGGAAGCGAAGGAGGCGGGAAAGCGCTCAGCTTCGAGCCTTTTGGACTCCAATGCAGTGGCAGCTGCAAGCAGCTCGTATCGAAAGGCCAAAAATGAAAATCAAACCACACCCAAGGACAAAACAGAAACTTGCACATATTGTGGTACCAGAGATCATGGAAAAGGCGACCCATCTAGTGTTCGACGAAATGAGTGCCCAGCATACGGACACATATGCAACTTGTGTAATCACAATCATCATCTTGAAAGTGTTTGTCGTAGTAAAGATAAACCTAAACTCACCAGAAATAGTAACAAATTCTCAAAGAGTTCAGCTGTATTTGATGTTCTATGTACTGTCAATGATACTATTGTTAATGCCTTTGATGATTCTTGCACGTTAAGTGATTCTGGTGTTGAGAGTGCATTACGCATTGACCACCATGTTTATGATAAACTCACAGACACATGGGTTAAGAAACGATCAGCCTCTCAATCATTTGTTAATGTTGTTGCAAAAGTTTCTCATGATGATTACTCTGCCCTTGGTTTTGATTTGAAAAACAAATGCTCTATTTCAGCTACTGTACCTGCCATGGCATATACAGGATGTCAGAGCTGCCTAGCTGGTTTGAGAGTCATCAATAGGTTAGGCCTACGTGAATCAGACCTCATCCCGGTGACCATGCACATGCATACAGCCACAAATGTTGGAATCAAGATCATCGGTGCTACAATACTCCGCTTTAGCGCCACTAACGATACAGGCAAGCCAATCGAGACTAGACAGATGACTTACATATGTGATACCACTGACAGGTTGTTCCTCAGCAGAGAAGCCTGCTCGGCACTAGGTATAATTCCTGATGCCTTCCCCGCGGTTGGTGCATACGCGTCTCATTCTATCACTGTGAACCCCCACCCCTCACCAGTGGAATCGCATTCATGTGACTGTCCAAAACGTCAAATGTCCCCTCCCCCTTCCACAAGAATGCAATTCCCTGGGACGGCCGAGAATTTACAGCGTTTAAAAACCTTCTTCTTAGACCACTTCAGTGCTAGTACCTTCAACACATGCCAGCATCAACCACTGCCGTTGATGGACACACCCCCGATGAAACTCATGGTAGACAACACTGCGGAACCCATTGCCCACCATACACCTATACCTGTCCCTATTCACTGGCGCGAGTCCGTCAAGGCTGGATTAGACCAAGATGTCCGTTTAGGCGTTATTGAGCCAGTCCCAATCGGTGAACCTGTGACATGGTGTCACAGGATGGTCATATGCGCGAAGAAAAACGGCGAGCCTCGCAGGACAGTTGACTTCCAGGCCCTCAATGCTCACGCGACACGTGAAACTCATCATACTCAATCACCATTCTACCAAGCCCGTTCCGTCCAACATGGCAAAAAGAAAACAGTGTTTGATGCTTGGAACGGTTACCACAGCGTACCCATACGCGAGGAAGACCGTCACCTGACAACCTTTATCACCCCATGGGGACGATACAGATATAAGACAGCACCCCAGGGGTACATTGCATCCGGTGACGGATACACACGAAGGTACGATGAACTTGTCTCGGACTTCGCCAACAAGACTAAATGCGTAGATGATGTGTTGTTATGGTCCGATTCCATAGAGGAAAGTTTCTTTCAGGCAGTTCGTTGGTTAGACTTATGTGGCAAGAACGGCATTACCCTAAACCCCAAGAAGTTTGTCTTTGCTGAGGACACAGTTGAATTCGCAGGTTTTGAGTTAACAAAAGACAACGTCCGTCCATGCAAGAAGTTCCTTAGAGCAATCCTCGACTTCCCAACGCCGAAGAATATAACGGACATACGTTCGTGGTTTGGGCTTGTCAACCAAGTTGCGTTCGCATTCAGCATGGCCGACAAGATGATGCCATTCCGACAACTGTTAAAGTCAAATGTACCATTTCGCTGGACAGAAGAACTACAAGGCTTGTTTGAAGAATCTAAACGCGTAATTGCTGGTGAAATCGAACAGGGTGTTCGAATATTCGATCCTAACAAACCAACGTGTTTGGCAACAGACTGGTCGAAAGATGGAATTGGCTTCTTTCTGCTTCAGAAACACTGTTCCTGTCCCATTTCTAAACCATTCTGCTGCAATGATGGTTGGAAGATTACCCTTGTCGGAAGCCGTTTTACTCATAGCGCAGAGTCAAGATATGCCCCAATCGGGGGTGAGGCCCTAACTGTGGAGTCGCCTTAGACAAGACAAGGTATTTTGTCTTAGGCTACAATCAATTGATCGTTGCCGTTGACCACAAGCCGTTAGTTAAGGTACTCGGTGATAGATCTATCGAGGACATCTCCAACCCACGTCTACGAAACCTGAAAGAAAAGACACTGCGCTATAAGTTTCGGATGGTCCATATCCCTGGTGTCAAACATAGGGCAACTGACTGTTTATCTCGACACCCGACTGGCCAACCGGAAAAGATGGAACTCACAGATGATATAGCTTCAGTACAGTGTCTGTTGCCCGTCATCACTCATAACCCTTCGCTGATGTATGGACTCCGTACCTCTGACACAGTTTCGCTGATAGACGATACTGTTGTGATTGCAGCAGTTTCTTCCTTAAATGCCATCCAGTCAGTTACGTGGGATCGCGTTCGCGTTGCCACTTCAAGTGACCCAGACATGCACACCCTACTGGCTATTATCGAGTCTGGTGTGCCGGACAATCGCCAGGGGATCCCAGAAACACTGCGAGAGTTTTTCTCTTTTCGAGATCACTTGCACACGGCGGACGGAGTGATTCTATACAAAGATCGAGTGGTCATTCCACCATCTCTTAGACAGGAGGTTCTGGACTCGTTGCATTCCGCACACCAAGGTGTTACAGCGATGACGGCTAGAGCAGAATCCTCAGTCTTCTGGCCAGGAATTACACCAGTCATCAGCGATCTACGTGCAACCTGTCAGCATTGCAACCGTATAGCTCCTTCCAACCCTAGCGCACCACCAACGCCATTGACAGACCCAGATTACCCATTCCAGTGCGTGTGCGCCGATTACTTTCACTATAAGGGCTGTAACTACTTTTTGGTGGTCGATAGATACTCCAACTGGCCAATAGTTGAGCAAGCACATTGCGGAGCTGATGGTTTGATAGAATGCCTTCGTCGTACGTTCGTCACTTTTGGCATCCCTGATGAATTGGCCTCTGACGGGGGACCTGAATTTACATCCACTGCCACCCGCAAGTTTCTAAAGAATTGGGATGTCCATCATCGTCTCTTATCAGTGGATTTTCCTCATAGCAACTGTCGTGCAGAGGTTGGGGTTAAAACTGTGAAACGCCTCATAATGGACAATACAAAACCAGACTGGGGTCTTGATACAGACTCTTTCCAAAGGGCCATACTTCAATACAGAAACACACCAGATAGAAACACTAAACACTCTCCATCCATGTGCGTTTTTGGTCGCCCTATTCGTGATTTTATCCCCATCCCACCTGGCCGATATCAACCCATGCTACTTGGCACGACACATTAGCTTTACGAGAAGACGCACTAAGGAAGCGCCACATGAAACAAAAAGAGCGATTATCACAACATACGAAACGACTACCACCATTGGTTACGGGATACCATGTCCGTATCCAGAATCAAATAGGCCAACATCCCCTGAAATGGGATAAACTGGAACAGTTATTGAAGTCCGCCAGTTCGATCAATACGTGGTTGGCATCGATGGATCAGGACGAGTCACACTCCGTAACAGATTTTTTTTGCGACGCTTTGTCCCAGTTTATCCTACACCGTCTAAACTGACGATTGATAGAGACTTAGCACTATGTCGACAATACCCACCACAGCCCATAACCGGACCGACGGATCAGCCAATAAATCCTTCATGAGTACATTCAAGGGAAGACAACAAGCTCAACATCGCTGCCTGCGACGGCAGATACATCGCAATGGAAGTCATCAAATCTTATGACGACCGTCCCTCGTATCCACAGAGTCAATAGACCTCCACACACAGATCCACACAGAACAACTGCTACCACAGTCAGCGAGCCGGTGGAGCCAACTGACAACGCATCAGTCCCTCTCGTGCCTCCACTCACACTTACCACACAACGAGATAACCCATCACCAAGCCATTCCGTGCAGACTACACCACTGCGCAAGTCGAGTCGCGCAACAAAAAAGCCTGCGTGGCATAGTGACTTTGTTATGCAGATGTCTTATCACGACACATGTCTTATGAATCTGATAAGATTGCGGTTAGTTTCGGACTTCGTAATTATTTTCTGACTTCGTCATTATTTCTGTGTTTGCATTGTTTTACTTAAGTGTTCTGCCTAGTCAAGGCTCAAGTCATTGTAATTTAAAACATATGATACAATTCCTTTTCACAACAGCCTTTGTTTCATTATATTACAAAAGACTCGAAGGGGGATACATGTTTATTGATAATGATAATTACATAGTTAATTCCCTTTATAGTCGAGGCATTTCAGAGTTACTCCCCTTGGATGGAAACTCGCCATTTTCAATACAAATGGAGTCATTTGAGGAAACACTTACATTAGCCTGTTTAATGCACATTATTGTAAGTAGTCATTGATACTCAGTTAATATGTTACTACATTGACTACATTTACTTATCGTTCATTAATGTACTTTGTCAATTATACTTTTGTCTCGTTTCCAATGTTAATTATGTTTATCATCGGAACAACACACCGTTTGGTAAATTTTATATCTGAGTATTTCTCATTTATGTATTTTCAGACTGTGTTCATTGTGGATCTTAATAAAGACGTACAAAAAGACCACGTTCGTATAAAAATGATATGAATTCTTATATTAAACCTTCAGATGTAACGATAATATCCCTAGTATTGCCAAGGTTACATTGTAACCTGTCTTTCCATCACAACACTGAGTCAGTGTTCAGTTTAGACATCCAGTAAAGTAAAAGTCAGACCTATAATAATCTAATTCAATGTTACATGTTACAAAATGAAAACAAAAGGTTCGTTCGCGAAGGGGAATTCTGTTCGTTCAATTTAAAAAAAAAATATTAGTACTTTCTTTATTTGTATTTTTAGTGATTTCCCACGGTGACATTTCCTGTTAACAGGTTCAACGAGATTCACAAATTGGACACGTTACATTTTCATTGACAGACAAATGAGAAATGTATTGTACTCTGTAAAGGGAAGGAGCTTCCACTATAAGTAAAACCGTGTAAAATTAGTTGGTTATGCCATAGCTAGATCAAAGGGAAAGTGACACGTCTATGCGACATTTTTGAAGAAGTTATTCTCTTCATATGTGTTATACTGGGAACAATGTTTTACGAAGGGTCTATCAGATTTGTATTTAAAGTTATTTCATAGTATTGATCCAGATTGTAAATAACGCAGAAGAATTAAATATATTGAAGAAAGTATTGTAATTTACCCATATGTAACATTGGTAAGCATTACTAAATCTCTTTTGAGAAATGATAACGAATTCAAATACAACTTGCGATAAACTTGCATTATTTTGTATCCGTTAAGTTTTACTCAATCAAAATACGGGGAGGGGGGGGGGGCGCTTCAATATCCTTTATCTACACATATCTTTAGTATGTCGTAAACCTTTATCTGAAAGGCTATACGTAATTCCCATAACGTGCCTATCACGAACGTGTACGTGTGTTGGCAACACTCAGTACCAGTACTGTTGGGGTACTGGAGTGTGTCGGACACTTTCCCGTTGGCCTATCACGAACGTGTACGTGTGTTGGGAACACTCGGTATCAGTACCGGTTGGGGTACTGGAGTGTGTCGGACACTTTCCCGTTGGCCTATTGCGTCATTATATCTCACTTTTATCCGACATTTGCGTGTTCGTGTAAGTAATTTCTTTTGAGAATAGATTTATTTTCCCTGTAAAGCGGATGCACTTTATTTTTATTTTTGACTCATGCCAGCAAAAAAGTATTTATGTAAATTTTGGCATTCGTTTATGTTCCGCGTCACCACCCCTACATCCTGAATCGCAGGTGGTTTTAACACCTTAATGGAATGTGCATTAGCACAGACGGCGGATAGTTAATATACATATGTAAAAAATGGTGTTAAACACTTGATTTCTACATAAACTTCCGTACGGATTTCCATTATTTTGGGATTTGAAATGGCAGCGATGATAAACAATATAACCCATGGGTTTCTCCATCGACATACTCAAGTCCTAAAAAGTGGATTTTTCTTCATGTTTGATTTGTTTTACGTCACGAGGGTGTCGACTTTCAGTGCCCGAGGTTTGCACGGTCAATACGTGTTAACTAAATAGAACCAACAACTTAGGCTTTATCATTCCCACTATTGTTAATAATGTTTTCATAGATATTTTCAAAACAAGCTTGTCACCATGCAATTTACATAAACATAGTTGTTTGAAATTTGAATGTTTAATTAAAATAATAAAAAATAAAAAAGGAAAGCTGCAAGGATCGAGCTTGGAACCTTTACACTGCCAAGTCTACACTTCACCAATATTATTGGCCGTAAAGTGTATGAAATAGCAAAACAATAATGAAATATACAAAACGTGACAGGGGAAATTACTCTTAGTATACATAAGGGAGACTACTCCACGTGAAAAATAGAAATTCTCTCCAGTCCAAGACCACTTCTTCACGATTATAACTAATGATGTGATACCTTTATCTTTGATCAGCTGTATTCAACAGTGGTACCTTTACCTTTGATCAGCTGTTTTCAACAGGTTTTTACATTCACTTAAATGATTTCCCTTACGGTAAAATAATCTCAACAGTAGGGTGCAATGTAGTGATTCTCGCGATGTTCCGTACAACACATGGCTAACTGATACACATGGGGTATCCAGTAAATTGGAAGGTGATGAGGTGTCCCGTGCCTTTACATGATAATATCTACGTTCCTGACACACTTAGCCCGAGTGAATGCGTTTCCTATTGGCTGAAAAAATAAACTTTAATTAACAGTATCCTTCTGGTATTTCCCTTCGCTGATAACACCTGTTGAAATTTAATAAAAATAGATAAAACTAAGAAGTTCTTGGTCAAATTCAAACAACACAAACAAGACAGTTAAAAAATATGTATATTTTTTATTCGAAATACAAAAATATAATTATAAAATTCTATAACAAAATTGTATTTACATGTTTAAATGTGATGGGTATCACGGACACAAATATCACAGTGGCTATTGACAGAGAGTGGACCAGATTGCTCATTGTTATCTAGGTGCTGTACATAGTGGCAACAATTGCATTTGAAATTTTTCGCTTTCACGAAATCATCACGGATTTTTCATCATTGCGTTGCAGCAGCATTGCAAAGTGCAACTGGTTTTAAAATTCAACACTGAAATTTCCACAAGCACAAATTTCCTCTTAATATTGTAGACAAAACATTATGTAGAATGAGAACGAACCCAAACAGAAGAGATCCGTGCTATTTCACCAAGGATAGCTACTGACAGTGGAGATCCGTGCTATTTCACCAAGGATAGCTACTGACAGTGGAGATCCGTGCTATTTCACCAAGGATAGCTACTGACAGTGGAGATCCGTGCTATTTCACCAAGGATAGCTACTGACAGTGGAGATCCGTGCTAT